AAGTATGCAATTTTAGACGATTTTTCGTCCAAACCGGACCTCGATATCTTTCTTCGTTCGAGAGATATCGAGGTTCACAGGTTTTGACTTCCACCCCCCCCCCTAGCTCCCCCCCAAAATTTTTCGGGGGTCTGAAAATTTGGGAAAAGAAGCGCTCAAGTATGAGTAATCAATAGACAAAGTCTGAAGAAATTCCAGAGGGGGGCGAAAAAAGCCGTTTTTGCATCAAGCTCTTTGGCAAAAGCTATTGTGGCTTGCGGTTCCTTTCTGCTAAACACGGTTCAAATATTTAAATTAAAAAAATGAGACGTGACAAAAAATCTGCAAATCACAGGACGTGTCTTTCGACTTCCACGGTTCACCATAGATATCTCTATGAAGCCAATGGATGTGGTTCTTAGACCAGGAGCGTTTTTTTCTGTGCACGTTGGGTCCGTGTTCCTGGTACATACGGAGACCGAAAGTTCTGGATTTAAGAACCATGCGAAACGAATGTCGCGAGACCAACAGCTTGAGTCACAGCTTGACTCACACCTACAACCGTACGGTCGAGGAAAAACATCGTATGAGCCTGCAGGCGTTGCCAAGTCTCCTTTGACAAACCACACATTTTCGTGAATTTTTGTAAGTATGTTTCGTAAATTTTTTCGGAGAGTTGTGTTCGTAATTTGATCTAAAGTGTCCGAAAATTTCAAGGAAATATATTCATAAAGTTCTTCGAAAATAAATATTTTTCGGGAGGCAATTTAGCAACATTCGAATGCATATAGGACGTTTTTCCTTAGCACGGCAGTATGCAGGGTGATCCAAAAGTCCCGCAGCGCCGGGCAGCACCCCTATAACTTTTGAACAAATTGAGATAGTGACTCGCAATTAGGAAAGAGCTACAGGGCAGAAGCGACGAATTTTGGAACCCCTCAACATTTTGATGGGATCATCATGAAATGAGGAAAAACCCCAGGGGGTTATAAAAATGGAGCGGACTTTTGGATCACCCTGTTTCTACTCTACTTGTGACAGCGCGACAATGTCAAATTCGGCACGTGAGCTAATCGGTATCGCTTCCGTATTAAATGCTTCAGCGTGATGTAACGTTTAGCAACATAAATCTGAAATGCTACATCTCTTCGCTTAAAGGTCGATGTATGACAACGGCGGCGAGATGAAATAATTAGACATGATGAAACGCCTCAATTTATTCTAGGCCGATCAATGTACGCTCACTTGGTCGCCATCGCGATAATAAACGAGTGTTAATCGAAGCGGTGAACTGACAAGATTCGGGAATTGGGATTGTGAATTTAAAACGTCCTCGTTGTTGTAAAGAGAGACCGAAACTGAAAAAGGAGGGTTGAACGACGTTTTCATCGTATTTTTTATGGGTAGTAAGAGATTTTTAGACTTTTTTTTTTTTTTTTTTTTTTTTTTTTTTTTTTTTTTTTTTTTTTTTTTTTTTTTTAATATGCTTGATTACTCGCTCGGTTTTTTTTTTTTACTCACAATCAGTTACTTAAAAAAAGATTTCTTTAAAATTTGCATGAAATTCAAGTTTCACTTTTTTCAGGCCTGAAAGAATATTCACCAAACATTTTATCAGTGTCAGCCACACCTGACGACGCTTGGGATGTATTAAGTATCAATGTTCCATTTAAGAAAAACAGATCTGGACGAATTGCGTTGGGGCGTCCGAACGTTTATAAACTTGATAAAACCTTTATGAAATAAAAACTTTGATAAACCTTTGACCTTTCTTTTGATAAAAGATTAATTTATTTAGAATCTTGTGACTATTTTTCTTCCAAATTGTCAGAGATTCTCATTCGGAATTCAATTTAAAGTATCTGAAAATGTCACACCTTCACATTCATACTTTCCCTCAAAAATGGACATCTTACTGGAGGACTGGGATACGTTTGCAACGTCTGAATGCTTACAGGGCGCTCTTGTTTAGCACGGCAGAATAACAAAAAAGAGGACGTTATAGTATCACCGAAGGCATTTTGGCAGACTTTCTGAATTCTCCCCTCCGTCACCCTTGTGAGACTGCCGAGATAAACCTCTTACTGTCCATTTTGAATTACGTAAGCTTGGCCTGATCGCCTGAACCCTTTCCCCTGTCAATTCACCCCAGAGAGGCTGCAAAAAATTATTTTTGTTGGAATTTTTTTTTTTTAAAGTATGATGGCTTACATAAGTCTGGCCTGCCGCCGCCCCCCCCCCCCCCCNCCCGGCGAGCTCAGACCTCTGGGGGGTTGTATTTAAACGCCCCTGAGGCGGAGATTCTCACTCCGATAGACCAGTGACGAGGCGTGAATGATCGATTATCGATATTTCCCCATTTGAAGCTGTGGTACAGAATCGATTATTAGGGTATTCGTTGCGAGCACCCTGTTTATCGATCTTTTACAAAGGTTTAAATGGTTGATCGATCTATATATCGCAATACACATCACGCCGCTGCGACAGACCCCGATTTTCCACGGTTGCTCGCGAAAAACGGCAGCAGGGCGCAAAACGGCGGCATAATGTGGTTGGGCTTCGAGCTAACTCGTAGCCAGAAAGTGAGAGAGTGAAAAAGGATATTCATTTATATTTATGAGTTGACATTGTTTGGTGTGCGCGGCGCCGCGAGTGGATGCAATTAAACTCAAAGGAAATTTTTCAAAACAAACGATTGCTGACGATTTACCCGCCGCGCGGGGGTGGTGAATTGCAGCGATTACATTTCGCGCTTTTGCGCCTGGGCTGGGCCCGTCCAAGCGAGAGTCAGAGTTTCGCGTCCGAAATCTCGTTAGAGTGGGGTGGGTGCTCACTAAAAAGAAAAAAAAAAAAAAACCCTTGACTGGCACTACTGTGCTGTGGAAAAACGTCGTATGAACAGTCGAGAGTTGCCAAATTTCCTCCAGTAAAATGATAAGTAATCTTGAAGAGAGTTATGTATATTTTTCCTTTGAATTTTCTGTTACTGTAGATAAAATTGCGAATGAAATTCTGAGAAAAATGTTCGCGAGTTTTCCAGGAAATTCACATTTCATAGAAGAAAATTTGGCAACGTCAAAGGCTTGTACAGCGTTCTCCCTCAGCACGGCAGAGCAACGCTGCAAAAAGTGCTGCAACGCCGCGACCTCTTCACGCGGTCCGGCGTTCTTGCCTCATGGCGAAATTACCGCTTCACTTCCTGGAAAAATTTCCGATTTCATGGCAAAATGCCCGATTTCACGGTAAAATGCATGTGACCCACCCTTCCATGATAATGGAAAAAAGAGAAAAACTCAACATTTGTGAAAATTGCCTCACGACTCCAGATCTGCCTCTGGTTTGCCGTTTGCTGCGACCTGTGGATTACAAGTTGGGGAATTTTTAAATCCCTAAATCAAAAACAAAATAAGAGCCCGCATTGGATAGGGAAAGTGCGTGATCGTGATCGCCTGATCTTCCCGCGATTGCTATTCAGTCAATCAAACACCCGACGACGGCTTTTGAATTCCTTGTGAAAAATAACATGGGAAATTGAAACTATTTTTTTTTCGAATGCAGCCGATTCCCCGGGAAAATGATGCCCACGACTGACCTCTGGAGGATTTGGCGTTTTGATTGATATTTAATGCATTCCACTTTCTCCAAAAAACACCAGATATCTTGATTTTAGAAATTTCAATTTTCTTCTTTGGGGTTGATATTTTTGACTGCCCCGCTGACCAAGTGGAAGAAAATTGAAATTTCAAAAATCAAGATCTTTGGTATTTTTTGGAGAAAGTGGAGTGTCTTACGCATCAATAAAAATGCCGAATCCTCCGGAAGTCATTAATGGACATCATTTCCCCCAAAATCGGCTGAATTCGAAAAAAAATATACAGTTTCGATTTCCCTTGTAATTTTCCATAAGGAATTCAGAAGTGGTCATCAAGGGGTCTAATTGGCTGAGAAGCAATGCCAGAAGATCAGACGTTCATGCACTTTCCCTATTCAATGCAGGCTCTTATTTTCTCTTTGCTCTAAATTGACAAGATAAGCTCTGAGTGATAGATTCTAGGAAGCTTCACACCTCTCTTCATTGGTGGCGACTAGAAAAGGAGGGGGGTTACTTAAAAAAAAAATTAGTGACGAAATGATATCAAATGATATTTTCCTTTTGCAGTATCTCCAAGTAATCTTGTCTGATTAAAGTGAACTGATAATTTTTTAATTACTTATTAAAGTTGATCGATTACAATGATTTATTATTTAGGTGAGATTTTTTTAGTTCTTTTCCATCTAGCTGGAAAAAGTGGCTCGGTGGGACGCATTAGTCCCAAGGGTCTAATGTGCGTGCCATCCGCAGATCCGTGCATTATAACAAAACAAAAAAAAAATCCAAGATTAAGTACTCAAAAATTTTGAGCAAGCTCTTGGAGGACATCTGAGAACATTTTTGATGTGCTCAGAGCATTGAGCAATTTGTTTAGTAAATTTCAAGGTGCATTCATGAAGGCAAAACTGTTAGGTATGCTAGTAAAGTGTTGTTTTACAATTTAGCCGCCACCCAATGCAATAATACTGCAACAATGAAAGAACATTGGTTTGGAAGGTGGAAAAGGTTGTTTTGAAGAGGACAATTTGCATCTTATGGGGTAAAAGCAAGTAGGTAAGTAAACGAGGGCGGGCTGACCAGCTGCGGCATCCTCTATGGGCCAAAGTAATTCATATTTTCAAGAAAATAAGAAAAAGGAACCAAAAATATAACTACCAAAACAACCAAGACGCTTAGCAATGCTATGCTCAAGGTTGCAAAGTTGTGCCATTTAATTAAAATGGAAGTAATGGAATAACTATTTAAATGGAGAAAGTGTTGATTTTTTTGCATAATCTGGTGACAATGGTTCTGCTGTTTTTCTCTCTTATGTTGATCTACAGTCCTGAGTATGGCTACTCCTTTGCTGTGAAAAAATACTCTGTTGAGACTCCCAAAAAAACTCTGGTGAAATCCGAGAAATAATTGAAAATACTAGAGAGCAGCTTACCTGTAAAGTTGTAGATAGATATGACAGGAAGCCATCCTTTAGATGGAAACGGAATCCTTCCCTGTGTGGTACTAGTTGATGGGCAAGAGTGTGGAGCACCTGCATCACTGAATCACTGCTATGAGAAACAGTTGCATGAGCAAAACTTTCTAATGTGTATGGCTCGAAACTATCACTGAGTTTGCGTGCATGAGCCCGGGTAGGTTTCTTCTCAGACTCTTCCGAAAGATCGGAGACTACTCTAATGGGCGTGTTGCCTTCGACACCTTCTGCGTTGTAAGTGGCTTCAGTGATATTGCCGGGGTCCAGAGAAATGTGCTTGTGTCGAAGACGGATGTTGGTTCCTGGAGTCTCCTCGTTCACCAGATCCAGCTGATCTTTTATAGCTGAATAACTGTCACCAATATCAGTTCCATCCGGTAAATATGCTGAAACATAGTATAATAATTTCTTCTTTATTTTGGGCATAAAACACTATACATTTTTTGTACTTGAGGTTTTTTTTACACACACCATTTTTTGGGTCTCCATAATTTCTTCATTTTCAAATTCCCTGACTTTCTCTGACCCTTTAACAAAATTTTCACTTAGTTTTTTGTCTTTTCATTTGCGCTGACTTCTGGTAAAGGCTGCACGCAAAATTCTCGGACTTTTCCAGATTGCCATAAATTCCCCGACTTTCTAAGTTTTCCAGACTGCCGAAGACCCTGTGTTTTTTAAAGGAAGAGTTTACTTACTAATAACACTACTTTGACATTCAGACTTTGGGGACTTAAGATGAGAAAAACCTGAATTGGAATGCATGAATAACTTGCAATTGAGGTTTAATAAAAACCTTCGGTTGTAACACTCACAAATTATGTCATAAAAAAATTCATGGGTTGATTCAGCTACTGTTTAGTAGCTGAAATTTTCTGCAAGACCATTAAATTACCTTACGTCTTCTATTACTTAAGAAAAAGTATCTAAATTGCTACTTGCTTGCAAAAAAAGAAATTATTCTATTTTAGAATTGGGATTTGTTAATTAAATTCAGTTGATAAGAATATTTTGAATCCATGTTTATATACATAAAAAACATGAAATACAAAAGGTCCTTTGCAAATTGAAACCCTTTCATAACTGCTTACTAAAAAACTAATCCGAGAATGTTACCTTGGTAGATGGTAGAACAGTATCCTGTCTACATTATAGATCGGTAAATCTCAAAAATAAAAATCAATTGCTTTACAACCACTTCTTGTAGAATTTTAAAGACCTTCCTCATTATTTTTTTCTAAATGCACAGTTTTCTCCCAATAGCAAGCATCCGAGTCCGCAATTTTGGGTTCTCTCTGAGGATAGATTAAGATTTTCTCTGGACATAGAATTCTTTTCCAAGCAATGTGTTGGAAGTAAAATATTATGTTAATTCTACACATCGAAACTTTATCGCTGCCAATTATTGGTACCTAAAAATTATCAGAGTAAAATTCAAGCACCTTCTAAAAAATCAATCTTATGCAAATTCCAAGGCCAGACCGACTGACTCACACAAACGAGAAGTAGAAATTATGTATATGATAGAGCAGCCTAACAACTACCAATTTTACAGCGAATCTTCAGTGAATCATGATACATGGTAACTTACCCACAAACCGAGCATAGGCATCTTCAATGATTCCGGTCAACCGATGAACTTCACCTACTCGCAGTTCGTAGTGAGCGATAGACTGAAAATCATTTCGCAAGCTTGAAACAGCACTGATGGTAACTGAATTGATTCTTCGGTCAACATTTTCTAGCATATGGGTGATGAGCTTCATCTTTGAAGTTAATTTCGCTCCCTTCTTCCTGAGGAATGGTGGTGTGATTTCACTTTGATCAACAGGTAAATGCTCGGACACGGTATCCCATGCTTTGAATACAGTGGATGCAATATCTTTGGATATAGAGAACACATCCTCAACTTCATCTATGAGCCCACTAACAGTTGTAAAGTAACTCAGATGGTATAAAATGCAAACGAAAAATAAGGCAGTGAACTTCATGTCGAGACTGAGGTGTGAGCAATAGAAACTAATTTCATCGACCGAAGATTTGGTAGTGCTGCTAAAACTGTTTCTCGATAGGATGATGAAGGTTTTACCGTGTGTAATCAAAATACCAATGCGTGCACAAAAAACAAATTATCCAGCGCCAATGGCCACAAAGAATAAGATGAGGATCTTGATAGAGCTTTGGGACTGAGACACTATTGGACTATGAGAATGCCATCATCCGGATGCACCTGTTGTTGAATAGTCTGAAGCTAAACGCGAAAGGAACTCCCATCCTGCGAAAAACTCGAATCGAGCACCTGCAAACGAACTCCCGATCTCCCTACGCGAGGGAAGCTCGAAATGAAGATGACTTTGCGACGGTAAAGCGACAGGCGCGACCAATACCATCTAATCATACCTGGCCATGGGTTTGAGGTTAAATGTTCGTAACTCCCGAGAATACACGGGATTGTATAGGGCGAACTTACAAAAATTGATTCTTTTTACATAAAAAGTGCTTGAATGCGGGGAAAAAAATTTGTTACGAAGGCTCTAAGCAAGGTAGACCGTTTGAGCTAAATATATGCGACCGAATTGCGTTTTAATGGAAGAAAAAAAATATTTAATAATGGTAGTGAAGTCATATGGGGAATACAAGGCACGTGATCATCCAGAAGATTTGGTTCGTGAAGCGAGATGTCTTCCTGACGCTAGGTGATGCTAGTTTAGGTCCCAACCGCAAAGTAGCGAGTAAAATAGACTCCTGAATACATGCCCCTTTGAGAAAAATTGGTTTTTTCACCTTATTTCGGTGCAAGTTAGTATTTATTTGAAGGAGGGGGGGGGGACCACTTCAACTCTTATGATTTAAAGGTAGAAATTTTATTTTGTAACACATTTTGTTACATTCCATACAAGAAAAATTTAGAATGGGTAGAGATAAAGAAGCTGAATATAAGAGTATCTCTTGGAGCTCGAAAGAAACGACCGTTAGCGCTATGGCCGCTATGTCTACGTCGGGAGCTATTACTCACACACTCTCACACGTATTCTCCAATGGCCAGGTATGATTAGATGGTATTGGCGCGACCGAACTTTGAGCTTCGAATGATAAAGGATGAAAACAAACAAAGGGGTAGAGAATAAAGATTACAGCAAAAGAGGGGCTGTCACTCGATCATATCAAAAACATTGGATCATATGTAATCTTTGGGTTTTGTGTATTTGTTTACTTTATTTTGAAGGTTATGGCTCCATTATCACTTCGCGATGAATTTTTTCTCGAAAATTGTAATTGTATCTCTTCATAAGTTTACCGTGCAAAATCCCCATCGTTAAAATGCGTTGCAATCATGCTTTGAATTCGTGCGTTGACAAAAAATTTGGATTTTATTCATTAGACCTACGAGATCACCTGACGACTTTCATCTTTTTCTACTAGTTGTCTGATGAAATAGTTTGCTTATTGTTCTCTCCCATTATATTCCTGCAGGTAATTTATTTTTAGTGACATCCCGTTCATCTACTCGTAAATTTGAGATCTTCTGACATGCATCTCTACACTTGTCTTGTGTCGGGAATTCCATAAATACCTAAATGTGAAGAAAAACTTTACGTGCATTGGTAGGAAAATCTACACGTGGCTGTTAGTGCAATGGGCAGCACTCAATTTATCTCTTTTAATCTCCGAGGAAGTCCTCCTCCACTATCATAGCCTAAGTAGTTTGCGTCCATAGAAGAGGAAGAAGATCTTCTTTTCAGCTGCATAATCTCGTCGCATCCATTAGAGTTTCCTTGCAATGCCTGTATATCCGATTATCAGCCTATTCTTACTGATGCGGTGCTAGGGGTGTGTGCAGATCAGCCTCTTTTTTGTCCATAGTTAAATACTGGGGGCGATTCCTGTCAAATCATTCAACTGGCGGTTGACTATTTTTTAAGGTTCAACCGGATGTTGTATAATAAGTCTTGTCTCTTTACGAAGACCACTGGTCGATATCGACCGACGACGGGTTGATTCTCAACAGGTACTTATTTTATAGTTTTATTTTCATATTAAGTTTCAATAGGGACTATAGACAAATGCTCGTTCTGGTTCTGCATGTTTCTCTGGTTAACAATGGGCCTCATTTGACTACCTGCGCTTGGTTTGCAAACTCCACAACCCCCACCCTACTCTTCGGAATGGTCGTTTGGTGACAACCATACTAAGGTCATCTTGTTCCACTGCCAATTGAAAGGTGCGTTGTCGAAGTAAATTTTCCATTTGCGTTGGGCTGCTTAACGCTAACGAATATCACGTGACCCATGACTTACCCGTTGGGAAACGCGTTATTGGTCGTCTCTGTTGACTAAAAACTGTTTTGTTTTGAGTGTGACACCGCGTCACAATTACATTTTGAGGTTAGCTCAATGCTCTCAACTACCTCCTGAGATGACTTGTTGACTTCCGTTTGGTAAACAGTCCAGGACATCGGGCAATCCAAACGGAGTCGAACAACGCCAAGCGTTTGGAATCATGTAATTCCGTTGCCCAACGGTCCCAAACAGTTTACTTCGACAACGCAGCTGAATTTTTGGCATAAGGTACCTAGACAGCAGATGCAACCTTATGTAGGATGTGAGAAAACAAATCATGTTAATGCACTTGGTGGAGAATAGTCTTTTTTAATTAACCAGAGGTTGAAAAAAAGTGACAAGGCTTTCCTCCAGGTTGAACCGGAAGTTGCCTTTAACTTCCAGTTTGTTAACTAGCAGTCAAAACAGATATGACAGGGATCGCCCTAACGAACAATTCTAAGAAGGACATTTTCAAAGAAAGATGCATCAGGCTGACTACACAAAAGTTTGCATTTAGTGCTTTTTTGCTCAAAATTTTAAATAGCACGAGTTAGATGAAAGAAGCAGAAAGTGAAAGTACAGATAAAAAACTATTTGAACATAAAGGTTGCAGTCACCCATTACATCTCTTTTCATCAATAGACAAATTTATGCTAAATAAAACTATGAGCATCGGGTTTGTGTGCAGCATAGCTCCTTTCTACATAAACACGTCTGAATGATTTTTGTTGGCATCCACTGATCAGTGTTCAGGTTTTTTTTAATAAAATGATGCACCATCCTTATCGATGATAATTATTTTCAGGTATGTTGCGATTGAATGGACGCTCTTTTATTTGGAATTTGCAATCTTCAGAAATCAATTGACAACCCACATGGTGAACAGGATAGAAGTTTCATCCTGTACAAAGAAGTTTCTATGCTCAAATCATGGATTCTTACATTTATGGCATCGGAAATGAGGTTTTATACCTCTTTGGAGGCGTTGCCCTCGTTTTTGCTCTCTTCATTCATTACTTCTTAGTCACAGCAAGGTATGAAATTATATTCTCCCTATTTTTCTGGCATGCATTGTTGATTTTTGAAAAATTAAGGGTTCATTAAGTACTTCATTACAAGTGTGTCTCCAGGTGTTAAAAACTTTTAAACTGTCATCAAACATTCTTTATTAAAATTTGGACTTAAGCTCCATCAAATCAGTTGTTGAATGTGAGGATTTTTGTATGGAGAAAAAAATCCCTTTCTGTTATAACTATGACAAGGATGAAGTACAAACTATATAGTCAAAAAATGCATACCAGCCAGAGTAAAAAATCAAAAATAAGTCAAACAAAGCTTAAATATTAAAACACTAAAGAGACAAGACTTTTAAACCATAACAGGCCCATTTTTAGCTGCAAAAAACCAGGGTGTCTACCAGTCCGTAAAGTCCGGAAAAAGTACGCATTTTTTAAGGTCGGTCCGTCAGTACCTTAAAAGTTTGTAAATCTTGCAGAAGGTCCGTAATTTTTCTTATTTTGCGCTGCGCGTTCAGTTCGATTACCTGATAGTTATGCAATCCTCTGTGCGTTGGCTATCAGGTGTATTAGTACAATATCAGCCCGTAAGAGCGCGGTTGTTGTAGAGGAGCGGAACAAGGCATTTCCCTCGATTTGACGGAAACAGCCGAACAGGCCACGGTAATAGCCGAAGTAAAGCGCACGGCAGTGCCAAAATCGAAGAATTGCGATACGTCGCGAAAAGGTACTTAAAAAGTACCTAATTTTTCCCCAGGCAGGTACTTAAATTTTTCCTTAAGTACCTAAAAAGTACTTGAAAAGTACTTGTTTTATTTTTGTGGACCTCAGTAGACACCCTGAACATAAAAAATAAGATTGAGAGGCGATCTGATTTCAGTTATTATGACGCAACCACTCTTGCGGATGCATTGGTTTTTTAGTGTTTTAATATTTTAGCATTGTTTTACCATTTTTCAATTTTTTATTTTGTCATTAAGGGACAACAACAATGACAGTGAAGTTAAAAATTTTGAGGAATCAGAGAACTGAATAAAAATTGGTGGATTACATGACCAATCTTTTGTCCAAAATTTGAACGTTTCCAGTCTCACCTTGGCATCGAAGGATGCTCCTCTACAGATCTCTAGATCCCTAACCTTTAGGTGTCAGAAGTCCAATTTTGAAGCGTTGTTAAACTAGGCAAGCCTTAAAATTGGAAATTGGATGATAACAATCCAAAAACCACTGAAACATAAGCATCCAGTTTTTATATCATGCTAACAAGTTGTCGACTGCATAAAAACTATAACATATCAAAACGGCCAGTGTTCTTTAGACCTTATTGGATTGAATAGCAGTTTCTTGGCACTTACTAGTCACCTCTTGTGGCTAGCAAGTTGCCCAGTAGTTTTATTACAATGGAACCACATTGCATATCAATAAGCAGTTCAGCAATGTATATTTTCTACCTTGTATCTGTAGGCTGAAAAATTGATCTCTCTTCCAACGTGATGAAAAGTGCTCCATCAAAGACAATTCCCCTGGAATTGAGATCTCTTTCTTAACAGATGGCCACAAGTGTATATACAGTTATACACACTAGAAATGTAAGTGAAGATGCATGACGACGTCCATTACTATTTTTTGAAGACTTCAGCCTCATTTTTTATGACTAATTTAGCTTTTCCTCTCTTCAGGAATCAAGAATCAACCCAAGCTGATGAAGCAACCCCTAGTGAGTATTTAGCTGTTTATTATGGTCGATTTTTTCTGCCTTCATCTGCTTTAGTTATGTACTTTTTACATTCCAAGTAGGCATTTTTGAACTACCAACAAAAGGGATCCATCTACAAAAGCAGTTTTGAAAAAAAAAAAAAAAAAATGTTGCAAAATGTAATCCATATCATATACAGTGGAAATCGGATAATACGACATTGCTTATAACGACATATCGGTTATAACGACCTGCAATCTGGTTAGTCCTGTGGCTGACATCCCATTTATTCAATGGACTGGAGCATCGATTATAGCGACAATCGCATAAAACGACTAAATTTGGCCGGTCCCTAGAAGGTCGTTGTATCAGATTTCTACCGTAATGATAAGTCTTGCTCCCAGGAGCCAAATTTTTTTTTTTTTTTATAAATATTATTATTTTATTACATCTGAACGAAATGCTTTTCATCAAGTTCATAAGATCATTGGGCTTACTTAACAAATTTTCTAGCATTTGAGGAAGCATTATGTGTAATAAGGGACTGGGATGTTGGCCAAATGATGGTCGTGAAATTTGCTATATCTCATATCACCAGTCATCATTTGAAGACAGATGATCTAATTTAATTTAATCATCGCAGAAAATATACAACAACAGTTTTAACTTTCGTCATTATCTTATGTCTTATCTTGTCTTGATGTTATCTTTTAGTGAACAGTGCTAATGGAAATTTGCTTACTCGGCAAATAATTCTAATCATTTAATTTTTCAGGTCAATTTTACAATATCTTACCAACATTTAATCGTGCCTGCCCAGTATGTTTGGGGAACCCTGTCTTCAAGGTTGCCACTAACTGTGGCCATGCGTATTGTGGTATGTAGTCTTGTACTCTCCTCTAAATTTTTATTTTATTTATTTATTTATTTTTATTTTACAGTTGGTACATAATCTCCCTTTAAGGGATCATATAAGTCGTACAAATGAATCAGATACAGATCGTACAAATGATTTAAATTAGGCAATGTAAGAACAAAATAAGAAAATGACACAGCAAAATGAGAAAATGACTGAGAGCAAAATAAGAAAATGACTAAGAAGCTATGGATAAATGCTAAAGATTTGAGAGAAATTCCCTTGAAACCATTCTGATGCTTGCTAAATTCCAAAACCGTGTATGTATGTATTTCTATGACCATGTAGCAAGTCGTGTAATAAAAAAGATTTTGTGTTCTTATTCTACTGAAATATAGTTACAGGACTATGTAGCTATACAGCTAATTATTTATTCATCATTGAGCAGGAGGTTCTGCAGTTTTTGAATAATAAAAATAAAGAAAAATAAAAAATTGCAATGTTTCAAAAAATCTCAAACAAAAAACAATGGGCCTGTTGCAAACTTTTGCTAGAGCAGAATGAAGAGTTGTTTCCTATAGATAATGCCTCAAAAATCACGATGAGCGCATCGGCAAAGTCTGAAATGCACTCATAACTTCACAATCTGCGTAAGAAATTTGCGTTATTTTGAGCTTCCCGCTTCAAAAACGATACTACTGCACAGGTGAACATTTTGTTAGAGGAGTCGCTCCATCGTCGGCAATATTCATCATGGCCGACGCTTGCGCAGTTCCTCGCGTAATTCGAGGAGAGTTCAAGGTCAATTAAGGCGGGCGAGGAAAATATGAACGTAAACACGCCGATTGTTATATGGTTTAATCCTGTTCAAGTGTTATCTCGTCCCATCACACGTGTTTTGGCGGACTGGCGTCGGCCATGATGAGTATTGTCGCCAATGGAACGACTCCTCTAACAAAATGTTCACCTGTACCGTAGTATCGTTTTCGAAGCGGGAAGCTCAAAAAACCGCAAATTTCTTACGCAGATTGTGAAGTTATGAGTGCATTTCAGACTTTGCCGATGCGCTCATCGTGATTTTTGAGGCATTATCTGTAGGAAACAACTCTTAGTTTTGCTCTAGCAAAAGTTTGCAACAGGCCCATTAAAAACCACATTCTGTCATATTTATGAAAGGTTGATCAGGTAATCCAAATTACTTATGGTGATTGATTCGTGAGTACCATCACATGGAGTGTTTTAATTTGGTTCACTCTTTTTTCAGGATCATGTCTATTGCAATTGGTTCACCATTCTCGACCAAGAATTACAGTGCATTGCGCTGTTTGCAGAAGCACGGTAATTAAACTTATTTTATGCATGTACATATTTAATGGCTCAGTTTGATTTTTGCACAAATTACTTTTATGTCCAAATTTCTTCCTCCCTCCTTCATCTTATACTTGATTCTGTCCCTTTATGCTTTATCTTCGTCGGGATACTGACTTTGAAGTTTGAAGTCCTAAAACAATGCAATAATCCCTACAAGACAATTTACATTGTTTTAAAGAGAACTTCCTCTTTAATCAGTGCTTTGCTTTTGAATGAAAGACACAAAAGCAATTCAAGATCTAGGATCATTTTTTGTGTTTTATTTTCATCTTCAAAAAGATGGAACCTTTTCCCCATATAAATCCACAAAAACATATATTTCTGTGTGCGGTGTTGCAGACCTGTTATACTTGGTTTTGTACATGGTAAACTATTAAACGTTGTTTCTTGAAAACTTTCTTGATTTTTCTTCTCTGTGTGAAGAACATTCTGTGAAAATTTCAAGCCATGATATTGTTTCGATCTCTTTTAAAAAAATAAAATAGGAACGTGAATTGTGAAACATAACAACTCAGATACTCATTTTTGCAGTTTCAATGTCGATGTAGGCATAAGAAGTGTCTTACAAGTAGTAGAATTAATAATAAAATGAAATAAGGAAGTTCTGAAGGTTTTATCTATTCCTTTTTTCATTACTCTTTTTTGTCTGGTCAGGTGACGTGGATCATTGAACAATTTTCTGATGAGGAAAGAGAAAATTGTTCAGAGCAAGCCTTAACTTTAAAAGCTTCTGTGACGCACTTGAAGAGGTGTCTGTCAGTCTACTCAAGAAGTGTAAGTATGAAACAAGTCATTTATTTTCTCATCGATACATAATGGAATGTTTGGCCAAAAGTTTTTAAAGATTACTGAAAATCGAGTGTGCTCTTCTTGTTTTCTTTTCTCCATTCAGGATATCGATGAATATAAGATCATGGTGAAGTTTATCACAAAACTTAGAAATAAATCATAAAGAATACTGCATGCCTCTGAAAGCATTACAGCTGCTGAAGGTCCGGAATGCGAAACATACGTGCGGCCCAATTTTTGAAACTATGTCGGCCCGACACGACGAGACAATAAAATAAGATAAAATAAGATAAATGTAAGTATGACTAAAGAAAAAATTACTTGAACTAAATAATATCCTATTGTTGATTCCCTGGTTCCATATCCCTTTCCTGACACACATACCCCGACAAACATCACAAGACATACTTCTATTAAGTATCAAATTATTAATCAATTATTAATAGTCCAACTCATAACCCTAAATCACCTAATAAAATAAATCAATATAATTTTTGTATACTTCAATAGATAAGAGATTTAAAATTATCTATAGTTGAAATATGAGTCCAATAGCTTTAATTAGCTTACATATCTCTAGAAGTAACTTCAAAGTTACATAAACTATTATATCATAATAGCCCTTTTATCAGGCATTCTAAAGTAACACTCAAGTATTAATAACTATATTACTTTATGTATATATTATTCTACCTCTCTTTCTCTATCGCTAATGATTAATATCTTTCTTTTATTTATAGATTTAATATATTTAAGTGCTGTTTTATGTCAGCACTTGAATATTAATAACTATATTACTTTATGTATATATTATTCTACCTCTCCTTCTCTATTATAAATATTACAATAAAGGAATCATCCCAATAAAGGAATAGTTTGAGTTTGACGATCATCTTATTATTATGATAGTTACTATCTTAACCATGCAATATAGGTATCACAATTCGATGTCTTATCAGGCTGCTTAAAACTTTCAATAATCCGCCCGCTAATCTCTTCTTACTATCCTTGCGATTTGCAACAAACTGGAGGTACAAGGTATAGTTTGAAGGAATTTCATGTCAGATTTTATAAGTAATGGTAGAATTTTCGAATTAGAATTTCAAGGTAGTCAGACAATTTTTTGAAAGTAGAGGAGCTCAGTTAAGAGGAAAAATTATGAGGCCGCAACAAATGTTCAACATTTTACAGTTTTTTGTTCTCTTGACTGAGAAAGAGGTAAACTCTGCCTTTCAAGAGATTTGAAGATGATGCGAATAACAAAAAAAAATGCCTGTTTGGTTGGCTGCTACGGAGGTGAAAATCTAAGTTTGCCTGCTGTTTCTGCTCTATTGTAGTATGATACACCCACACTTTCCTTTTTTTTATTCTTAAAAAAAAAAATTGGTCACAAATTCGAGGAGTCAAGTAACCTCAAAGCTTTTGACTTCAAGGACAAACTTTACGTTATCTCAATTAAAGTAAAAATGTCCAAATTTCCCAAAACTTAAAAATTACTACACTCCTTAGATAAGGAAATTTCATGCACTCTCTGGATTGTGACGAAAAATTTGAAGCAATATCCCTCTTCTGCGATTAACCAGCTCCTTTTCCTAGTGTTTTATGTCGTTTATCTCCTCTCTAATTCGCGATTTTTTATAAAAATACTACTGTTTTGTCGCAAAGATTAACTCATCAGAAAAGACAAAATTTGCAACCTACCTTATTTTATCGCAACATCTACATCTATCTACACCCTTCAATTAGGAAGGTAGGAAACTTGCTTATGTTGTCCATGAAATGTAATTCAGGCAGATGTAAATTTATTGGATCGTGATTCAATGGACGCTGCGATTCAACGGACCATTTTGTCAGTTCCATGGATCCTGATATATCAAGGTCTTCCTGTAATTTCATAATGTTACAAAATGGTGATTGCAAAGCATAGTATTTGGACTTAGAAGTTACATATGTTTGTTTAATTTTGTCTACAATGCAACATTCTTGATGTTTCAGTTTCGAGACCATCTACGAGATTTGCCAACGCTAGCTTATTTTATGATGGAGGAATTAACGAATCTCAATGGAATGCTATCATTCGGATCAAAATTGAAATTGTTCCTCATTCTATCTTTGGTTTTAATCTATGTGTTAATCCCTTATGATTTAGTACCTGAAATTGTATTTGGATATCTTGGCCTTCTAGATGATTTTCTAGCAACTGTTGTCCTAATTATCTATGCTTGTGAAATGTTTCGTTATTTTATCACTGAGCGTCAGGGTTGATTTTCAATTTTTTCATCTTTTAATTCTAAGTTTTTAAAATGCTTGTTGTGAAGTGTCAATGACACTCTCCTCTATGTAAGAATAAAGAAGACTGAGTAAGTTAGGTAAACACCAAGAGACATTGATTAATCTCATGGTGGGTAAGATAAGAAAAAACAATTAAGTTAAAAACAAGGGTAACTGTAGAGAAAAAGCATTTTTATCCACAAATTCTAGATTTTCAGTTTTTACTAATTTTGGTTTGAAACCATTTCTTCATAACCATTCTAATAATTAATTATTACAATTCATTCTGCATAACATTTTTACTGTAAGTAGGAGTTCCCTTCAGACTTACTAGGGGTCCGTCGCAAACTTTTTTTAGAGTGCATGGAAGAATCGCATATTTAGGAAAATAATTTAAAATTCACCGTGAGCTTATCAGGAAAACTCCCCTAAAAATTCAGGAGTCTAAAATTCTTTCCCAACCTCATCAACTGCATAAAAAATGTGTGAATTTTTGAGTTTTCTATTCATAAAATTATACCGAGGCCTCGACACAATGTCGCCCCTCTGGCGTGAGGACATATCTTATTTTCCTTGTGAGCTCTGTTTTACATATCGGCGGTGAAATTACCAGACCTTGTATTTTGTTTTCGGTGTTTAAAAATCCCCGTTCCCATTTTATTTTCGTGAAGGAAAACAAAACAATATCATTCCTCGAATTTTGCACACATTTATTTCACACGAAGGAGAAAATTCACGGAAGTTTTCAAGAATTGACGTTGAGTAGTTTTCCATCTAAAAAATAAAGTATGATAGGGAGTCTGCGACGTCGCAAACCAGATACGTAGTCTGGTAGTTTTGCTGTTGATATGAACGTATGCTTCCTGAAACTCATGCGGAAATCGAGGTACCTACGCTCTTGGGCCAAAGAAGAGATGATAATTTGAAAAGGATGAGTTACCCCCCCCCCCCCCCCNATTTCATAACTCCAAACGAAACTAGAAGTGGCCCTCATTGTGCGACAGGGTTTCTCAAATATTAACAAACAACAAAAGTACTTCAATGACCAAAGTGCAAAACCACATACCCTCTTGGCTGTTCTTCAAAATTTCTACTCTAATATTTTTTTAAAAAGAAAAAAGCCAACTTTTTAGCTTGAAATTAATTCAGAATGATCTGCTCACAGAGAAGAAAAATCAAAGAAGTTTTCAAGAAATTACTCTGACTAGTTTTCCAAGGAGAAAATTTAGTTTGATATAGGACATTTGCAAAGTAGCAAACAGTGATGCATGGTTTTGCATTTTTGCCATTGCCCTCTACTTATTACACCTAGTTTGAAAAGCTAAGAGGAGTGGATTAATGTTGGTTGTTATGTTATTTGGTTTTAATTGAAGAACTGCGACACATGATAACAGCCATTTACAGTTTTGCATTAAGCACTGAGACTGGGATCAGATGTTTTTGGAGTGCTCATCAATTTTTTTGAGCCGACTTCCATGAGAAAGCAACTTCTTTTCACTCTAACAAAAGGTTGCAACACACTGACATTCAAACAAAATCCAACTTTCATTTGTAAGAAAAAAAAGTAAGATAAAAAAAATTAAGTAACCCTAGTAGCAGAACCATAGAAGGAAAAGATAAATATTATGTACGAAAGTTAATTTTTTTTTATATATAATGCATGCATACAAAAGTGTTAAAAGTGAACATTTTCATGTAACCATTATATAAAAAAATATCATAATTTTCGTGAGCTTTTCGCAAACATACTAAAAATTCTTCTAATTCGCGAAAAGCTCACGAAAATGATGACCTACTTTTTTATATAATCGTTGCATAAAAATGTTCACTTTTAACACTTTCGTATGCATGCGTTATATAAAAAAATAAAACATTTGTGTATAAAAAAAAAGGACCTTGTCTAGCTTTTATCATTTTTCATATATTACGGTCAGGTCTGAACTTTGATTTTTTTTACATAAGCGTTACACGTTTTTTATATAAAACGATCAATTAGATAGCAGGTATGTTTTTTTATACTTTTTTTAGAAAAACAAAAATTTGTTCTGCTCCTAGGGAAGACATGTATTATGGATGTAAAATAAGTTGTTAAAATATCTTAAAGAATCAGGAAAAACATTTAATGCAGTATTTGAATGTCCCCTTATTTCAAATGTCTCTACTTCTAAGAGTACGCTCTAAGAATTCATGGGTGCAAATTCAAAGGTTATGGGGCTCATACAGTTTCGGAATGTTTCACTACTTGCTCAAAATATTTTCTAGTTAAGTACTGACGTTATACCAATTTTGGAACTTTTCTGTAATGGATGAAATTAAATCATTATTATTTATTAATGCTACTTTTTAAAAGTTAAATCCGAGAAAGTAAAAACACTTCATAATGAATGGAGCCGATCAGAGTGATTGAAAAAAAAATAATTCTTGCCCTATTCAATAATAAAACATGCCCCCTTGCCAGTTTCCTCAACTTAGAATCTAGAGTTGGGAATTTTCAGCAGTTTTCCAATAGTGTCGCCCTTGATTTTGATATCTAGCAATGCGGCTATCTAGCCTAGATTTTCCTTTATTTTTGCGTGATACATTGTCACATATACCTAGTCCGGAGTCCGATTACTTCTGCGCTTGATTCCGCATTTAATGTAGCGAGCAGAATCCCTACATTTATAATAAACGTCTCTAATTTTAGATAGGTGAAAAGCTTTTATTTTTCTTCATTTTCACAGGATACCACGTCATATAGTTACTTTGAAGACTGAATACTTGCTAACTTTATTTCCACATTTTAACGAGGCGAGCGAAATCCTTACATTTGTAAACGTCAGTACTTTATTGAGGAAGGATTTTCTTTCATTTTTGCGTGGTACAATATCGTTATACCTATTCCGGAATTTGGATAAGTTTTTTAGGCTACGTAAGAATCTGGAGCTCTGAATTTTCATTAGTTCTTCCATTAATATTTTCGAGGCTACAAAATTATTTTATGCTCAATCCAAGAAAGTTGAAAAGGCATTATGAATAGTGGTTTCTGTAAAACTAGGTAGTTGGAAAACAAGGAGAAACCTAGGTATGCTCCCATTTCAGGTTTCTCGGTTGAGAATCTGGAGCCGGAATTTTCACTGGTTTTTCGGAGGATATTTTTGCACCAATGGATATCTAAAATGTTCCATCCGAGAAAGTTCAAAACGCACTATGTATAATGGAGTCAATGTAAGTGGTCGTAAAACAACGAAAAATTTATGCTCTCATACCAGTTTCTTAGCTGAAAATCTACTGCTCCAACTGTTGATGTTTTCATTAATTCGATCTGAGAAAGACAAAAAGAAGCTGTATTAAATCTATCTTGCTAAGGAAATGTGTCGTATGAGCCCTCAGGCGTTGCCACATTACCTTCGATTAAAAACTGTCACTGGAAAATTGTGACTATTATTCTTCTAATTTTGTAGACAATTTCAATGGCAATTTAATCTAAAATTTCAAGAAAAAATATGCATAACATTCCTCAGAAATACATGTTTCATGCGGAGGAATTTGGCGACTCTTGAATGTGCATACGTTCTTCCTTGGCACGATAGAAATGCGGTAGATGCAAGGTGGTCGAGAAACTACGACATTTTCATGCTTTAATGCCAGTTTCTCCAGCTGACAATCTGGAACTCGAATTTTCACTCATTTTTCCAAGATTGTTTTCGCGCGGATGGATATTTTTAAAAGTTATATCTGAAAAAGTTAAAAACTTGCTACAGATGATTAAGTGAGTGCAATTGGTCGGACAATTACAAAACTCCATGCTCCCACGCCAGAGTCTGCTTGGCTGAGATTCTGATGGAGCTCGGATTTTTGAGTTTTTTTCCATGGACGTTTTCGCGCCAATGTATATTTTTCAACATTCGATCTGAGAATGTTAATGTCCGTTGTAAATAATGGAGTCGGTGCAACTAATTAGTTGGAAAATAACAAATCTCTTTTTTGCCAATTATCGCGGCCGAATAATCGCGTGCTTAGTTTCTCATGCAACGATGCGAGTGTAACTATTACCCTAATACCTTTATTCGTGAATGTCAGTATTTTAACTTAGTCGAAAAGCTTAGATTTTCCTTCATTTTTGCGGGATACTACACGGTGTGGTCCATTCCATACCCTATTCCTGCTCATGAGTTCGGAATTCGGATGGTTGTGCGCTACGCTACAACAATGCGAGCATACATCCATAATTACGTCAGTTATTAGAACCACGTTAAAATCCAAGCTTTTCCTTCAATTTCGCGGGATACCACACCACATTTGACTCAAAAGTTGCAATAGTTGCGCGATTGATAGGTACAACATACGCGCGAATCCATGCTCCTTTGCCAGCTTCATCGGCCGAGAAACTGCACTTCGGAATTTTTTTTTAGTTTTTCCAGGATATTTTGGCTCGTACTTGCGGACAGTTTTGAAATGTCAATCTGAGTAAGTAAAAAATGCGCAATGGATATAATGGAGTAAACGCAACTGGTCGGAAAAAGACGAAAAATCAATGCGCTTTTTGTCCAGAATCACCGGCCGAGGAATTGCACCCGCAGGAATTTTCAGGAGTGTTTCCAATAGCAAGGGCTTCAGAAATTTTTGCAATTTCGATCGGAGTAAGTTAAGAACGCCCTATAATTAATGGATGCGAAGTATACCTTATAAGCGCATTCATTAACGTCAGTAAAATACAAGCGAAAAGCTTAGATTTCCTTCATATTCGCGGGATACCACACACCACACCGCATGATACCTCCACTTTCGCCCCGCATTCAGAGAGTGGTGACGGAGGGAGGGGGAAGGGATTGGTTAAACAGGGAATAGAAAAATCAGCTGTTGTTTGTTGTCATGAGTTGATTTGTTCAGTGCAATAGTGTCATTTTGCATTATTTTATTTTTGTACATTAGGTAGGTATCTTCGTTATCACCGCATGAGCTGACGAGCTCACAGGTTTTGTCGTTGTTTTGTGAATAATAATCTTCATTTCGGTTTTAATTTCATGAGGAATGTAGCAATTATTTGATCATACAGGCTAATCCTTTAGTTTTCCTTGCGTTGATGCTCTGCTTTTTGCCATATGTATGTAATTGTTTGTGATAAAAGTTCCTCACGCGTTGTTTAATTAACATGTTTTATGTTAGTTTGGTATCAACTGATTTTCATTTACCTTTTTTTTATTTCTTAATTTCTACGTCTAAGCTCTGAATTGGAGAAAGGTCTTGATCAGTTTCTGTCTCACACATAACCTCAACAGTTGAACTTGAATTTATCAAGTGGATGGCAGGGCCTTATAAACCTTTGCCAATGGATGCAAGGAATTTTCGAAATCCGTAAGTCTTCTGTGTTCATGTACTTAAATATTAATAGTTTTCCAAATCATTTCCATAGAGCACAATAGAGTATAGCTATGTACTGGAATGCGGGCATTCCTAGCCTCATGTTTGCCGCTAGTGTGAACCAATTAATATTTTTAATACGGCAGCTTATGGAAGAATCGCAGGCTACAAGCGGTTTATGGAATTTATGAATTTAAATTCACTGTAATTTTTGTGAACTTTGGCAAATTATGATGACCTAAGTTCTAACAAATTAAAGAACGCACAAAACTCCCAGTTTTTATGAAATAAATTTGAAAACTTTACTCTCTGAACAAAGCCCAGTTCCCAGACCTTGCGTTTGGCATCTGCAAATACCGCACACTCTCAGAAGCACTGGATAACCGCAGAAAGTGACTTCACTGGCAGTCCAGCACTCGTCGTCTTTATTGTACTGTATGTAAATTTCAGAAAAATCATCCCATTCGAAAGTGTAGTGGAAAGATAATTGCCATTAAGGAACTTGCCGAGGTAAATATTTTACACCTCCATTCCATTTCTATCTGATACTTAATCGTTTGAACAAGGAATAAAGCACTAAAGAATGGCCCGAACTGTTTGTAACAAGGTAGAGAAATGGTGCTGGGTTCACACCATTTTGCAGGGAGAACAAAGCCAAGAAATTCCAAAAAAATTTCAATTAAAGTCAAACAAATTCATAAAATGTTTTCCTTCCAAAAAATTGAAAAATGTTTGGAATTTTTTGGCTTTGTTTTCTCAAAATGGTGTGGGCCTAGCACCATTTCTCCACGCAATAAATTATTTAAGCAATTGTTAATATATTTTCATTGCAGGCATGCAATGCTCAACTACACGTCATCACTACCTAATGGAGGTGTGAATGGTTTGCCCGGAATGTCGACTGTCAGAACACAGAAGAACCCACCTCCGTTGCCACCAAGGCATAATCGCAGGATTATCCCCACATCCCAGAACAGAAGTTCAGTATACCCGGTTATGGGTAACTACTCCTATCCTGGTTACAATCAGTTCAGTCATCTTGGAATGGGATTTGCGCATAACTATGGTTCCTACGGAGGTTACAACAGACTGGGAAGCTATGGGTATGGCAATTCATACAATGGGTATCCAATGAACAATGTCGACAGTAGGTAAGGAAATGTTCTTTTTATCATGTCTCATTTAGTTTTGAAAACTATTTTAGAGGGTATTTCATGCGTTTTATGCATAGACTATATCGACGGTGCAAGTCGGCAATCACATAACTCGTTTGCGGTGTCTGAAAATCTCCGCAACTATGTTATTTTTTTAACGGAGAACAAATGGACGTGATTCCTTGAAGTTTTTGCAGAATTTTCCTCGCACATGGAAGAAAAATCACGGCAGTTTTAAAGAATTACCGTTGAGTAGTTTTCCGTTTAACAAATAAAGTATGACGGGAAGTCTGCGACGTCGCAAACCGAGTTATGGGATTGCCGACTTTCACCGTCGATATAGAGTCATAATGTAAATGGGAGAGCTGGCACCATGTTCTGCTTGACGAGTGCAGGTCACTTTTTCGATACTTATTCAATCCAAAATTGCAGTGTGGAATACGTAGTAATTCCATGGCCGGGCCCCTGTATATTGCAAACAATCGATTATGTATCGAAAAAGTGACATGGCCTCGCACAGGAGTCTCGGAATTTGGGACCTGGAAATTGCTTAAAAGTGGTGCCAGCTCTTCTACTTACATAATGACTCTATATACTCTATGGTTTTATGGTGTAGAGGCATTTTTCTCCTCCTTTAAATCTAATTCCCACCAAAAAATGTACCTGTATGTACTGGCCTGCAAAAGTATCTGATTTGTAAGAAGTTAATTTGAAGTTAGTTTTTTAAATTGAACCCAGTAAAGGAATGAAAATTCTAACCCACAACAATCAGTTCCCTTTCCCTGAACTATGTCTAAATGAACTCTGGAGGAGAAGATACATTTTCTCTGCTTAATAAAGCAGTTAAAGAAACATTTTTCACTCTAAAGGTATCATGGACGAAGGCATTAAGTGACAGTTTTGTGATCACATGAAAAATGTGCCGAAGTTGAAATGGCACAAATGATTTTACATTTGAACAATGCGGCAAAAAGAAGAAGAAATAGGCTTTTCTGTGACATTTTTAGCAAAGGTTGCTCTTTGTGCTGTGAAAGTGAAAGAGACAACTTTATTTTCTTCTGGTATAATGAATATGTCATGAAAGACAGAGCACTGCAGTGGTGACCGGAAGTTTACTTGATCATCTGCTGCTCATGCAGAATGTCAGGTATAATTTTTTTGCGTAACAAACATGAGATTTTTTTAAACTGTGCATCAGTTGGTTTTTTTTTTTTTTCTTACCTTCATGGTGACTCAGCTCTTCTGTCTGTGGCCCTCAAAGGACTGCTGGACATGGTAAAAATTAAGCAATCTCACATATTTTTCCTCTTCAGAACTTCTCATTGAACAGGACTCACAAAAATTACTGATTTCAACTTCTAATCAACGTATTTATGTCTTTATTTAGCACTGGTTACGTAAAATTTGAATCTCCCACTCACAAGAAAAACCAGAAACCTCAAGGATGAAATTGGGCACTACAACGGTTTTGACAGGCTCCTGAATGATCAGTGATTTTTCCCTGCTTATGTGTCTCCCCAAGTGTGAATAACATGCAGCAGCCTAGTCAAAATGCCGATGTGATAGTTGCCATTTTTTCATACAACAGAGACTTTACAATAAAGTTCTTTCTGACTTTTAACTCTAGTAAATGACGGGTTTTTTTAGGATGATTTTAAAATTCATGCATCGAAAAGCGTGTATATCTTGTTCAGGATTTACTTTCAATAATTTTCTTTGGTTCAGTATTTTGGTAATCTACATGAAATCTTGAAATTCGCATCTTATCTAGTTGCTGTTTTTGAGGTCCATTGTAGCTTTCCTGATTTTGCCGTTTAAATAGTTCCTGTTTGTCTAAACTGTAATGGGGACTTTTAATGTTAATCTTTTTAATTTTCATTTCGTCTGATTGCTTGTTTTTTATCAACAGATTTATTCAACTTGCAGAAGAGAGAGCGAGGCCTGCTTTCCAGTCCATAGAATCAGTTTTACAAACCTTCAGTGCAATTAGTTTAATGTTAGATTCAACGTTCATGGCAATGCATACATCATTCCACGCTGTGTTGGGTGTTGCAGAAAACTTTGCCAAACTGCGATCATTCCTCAGACAATTTCTGTCAACCATAGCCACCTTCAAACTCATCCGGTGGTTCTACAGACATATTTTATACTTTTTAGGTATGAACTCACTTTCCTAAAAAGCATCTTAACAAAAGCAATTTCAGCAGTTACATTCCTTTATTGATAATTCATCCGGGTAATGATCACTTTTTTGTAACAGTATTGTAAACAATGAAATAACATTCATAGTACTAGAAGAATATCACGAATCCACATATGATCACATTTTAGTCAAGCTTTCAGGAAGTAAAGCATGCGCTGCAGGCAGAAGAAGCAGTAACTATTGCAGTATTATTTAACTGAATGAACTTTTTTTTAAGAAGATAGAAATATATTATCAACCATCTAATTGGGCTGTCACACAATTTTTAATTCATGTTTGTAAAGTATGTGAACAAAGGGAAACCCTAAATTCTTTTATTTTTCTCTCTTGGCTCTCATCAAAAGTAATCCCCTACTTTTTTAATTTATATCATTATCAGTAATTTTGCTAGTTTTATTATTTCTCATTTCCTTGTCTTTCTGCTGCAGGACTTGTATCGCAAAACGCGACAAAAGAAGAGTTATGGCAGGAAGCCTTACACCGCACGGCTTCTGATCCACTTCCCTCAACCCCTCAAAATAGACTGTCTATCCCAGTAATCATGTTCATGGGCCTAATGTTGACCGGGCCCTACATTATTTTCAAGTTGCTAAACTCTTTGTACTCATCAGAGCAAGAAGAGACGGGTAAGTTCAGGAGTCTACACTGACATTATCTAATATCATCATAATATTGCCATCAGTTCAAAATCTCTGAACATCATGGAAATGAGTAGAAAAAATAAAACTTTTCATGGATACTAAAGGTCAATGTCACCCACTCTGCTGTGGCAAGAAAAAAGGCTGTATGAGCCATCAGGCATTGCCAAATTTCCCTCGACAAATCACAAATTCTCAGGAAAATTTAAGAATATTTCTCCTCCGATTTTTCATATGATTTTTTTCATAATTTGATCTACAAAGTCAGAAAATTTCAAGGAAAAATATTCATAACTTCCCTCTAAAATAGATATTTTCTGAGTGGAATTTTGGCAACATTGGAATACCCATAAGGCGATTTTTCTTAGCACGGCAGCTTTGCCCTTAATTGCTGGTACCTACTCAAGAAGTCTCAAGTAACAATATGAAGTCTGCACTGATATTTTGAAAGATCATTTAGAGCGCTATCTAAAACCTAAGACAAGGAAAAAACCACCAAAAATGTGGCCTGAACTGTAAGTAACAGGATGGTAGGATAGTGCTGGGCCAGCACTGTTTTGTGGGAAATCAAGGCCAACAGCCCAAAAATTTTCATTGGAGTTCAAGTTTTTGTATCTAATGAGAATTTTTTGAATTCTCCAGCCTTCATTTCCACTCAGAATAGTGTCGACCCAGCACTAATCCACCATTCTGTAATACCCAAGGAGCCTGAATTTAATCTTAGTATCTTAATAAACTCCTATGTCTCACAAAGAGGGGGTTCACAAGGTTGCTTCATTTAAGTACCTTTTTATTCCAATTTGAATATTGCGTACCGCTCAAAAACTTGATAGGAGCATTCCATCCAAGAAAATTCTAATTCTCTGAATTTAGACAAGTAGGTAGACTGAAAACAATGCTGCTTTTTGAATTTATCATGTAGTTTCCCCGAGTTTGAGAATAGAAGAAATAATTCAAATACCGCAACCTTTTTATTAGGGAGTTACTTTTATCCCAAAGGATCATTAAACTAGAAGTTACAGCAGTTCAAACTTTGAATGAATAAGAGAGGGCTCACTACACTAAGGAAATACTTGCATACACTACACCAGAGATGGGCTATAGAGTTGTTGAAAGTATTATGAAGTATTTCATCATTCAAATGATTTTCTCTTTGCTTTTGCTTATTCTCGTAGATTAAACTTTTCATGAACCTCAAGGCTTAAAGGAATTTTTAAGTCTAAACTTATTTTTTGTGGAATCACATGAGAGGTGCAAATATTTTTTATGCTCAAGCAGATTCAGATGCAAGCTACTCGCTTCTGAATTTCTAACATCATGTGGTTTTTGTTCTCAGAAGCTTGGAACCCCTCAGTAGACCCCTATCAACTAGTGAGAGCTGTCTACGATTTTCAGGGTCAAGCAGAAGGCGAGCTTAGCTTTCAACAAGGGCAGACATTAAAAATGGCACCGCTCAAAGAGGCAGATCAAACCTCTGGTTGGGCTCTAGTTGCTGATCAATACAATAGAATAGGTTATGCACCAATTAATCGGTTATCTCTGGGCCCTTTGGTTCAGAACAACCACCAAAATAATCAATCGCAGCAGTCTCAACCTCTTACCGTTCCCAAGGACGTAAATCAAATGAATAGCCCCGAGACACCTACACCAAATCAAGAAGTGTAATTTTTACCAAGTTCGTCCTTGACCTTACTTGGTTTTGTTGATTTTTATTGTTAACTTTGTTTGATATAAATAGTTTTTCAACTGAATCTTGCCTAAGTATCTTAAGATTGGAATGAATTTTCATGTAAGTTGCAAGGTACACTCTACAACAGGTATGGACAAATGGAATTTTAGAAAGTCGTCAAAACGCGTAGATTTGACAGCATCGAGAGTACGACTGCGAAGACATACGCGGCAAATGGACGGTACGACTTCATACGTCACTCGATCGCCGATTTTCTCAGCGCTGCCACTTCGGCACCCCGTTTGTCCATACCTGTAGTAGAGTGTACCTTGGTAAGTTGGCTTTACGATGGTACCAGTGGGTGTTAAGACAAAGCTGCTTCATCAATACCCATGGGAATAAAAAAATAAAAACATATGATCAGAATTATTGGTGAACAGGAATTCTTCTCTACAGAATGCCTTTCGGTGATGGTAATCAGTTTTTACGGAACGGTGAAACTGCAAGAACACAATCCCTCTCTTATTGTGATGTCTTGAGGTTTCCACTTTCTTTATATTCATGTAAAGGAGAATATCTCACCAGACTTTTGGGGATGATATTTTCAATAAATATTCTTTTGAAAAATCTTTTGAATTTCAGTGTAAGCAAAATAAATTAATTTACTACTTTATGTTTTATGATAATAATTTTATTAGACACCACCAACATTATCCTACATAAATATTCCATGCATGCTCAACTAAAAAAAAAAAAAGAAAAAAAAAGTAACAAAGGTTAATTTGTGAGTCAAATGCTTATTTTAAATCGAATTGTAGATGTTCCTATGGCTATTTTTAGTTAAAATATGTGTCAAAATATTCTGATATTTCATGGGCTAATTTTATCTCTTAACAAAGTAAAAAAAACAATGGCAAGTATAGCGATACTTCTTTACAAAACTGAGCTTGAAGATGCTCATGGGCTCTACAATGTAAAATAAAATATTTACAAAATGTTATTCCTTCCACAGATCCTTCATCTTTAGCAATGGCACTTGTTTAATAACCTGATAACCCAGACCTTCACCCAGGATCAGATGGCATCACAAGAGTAGGAAACAGCAACATCCACACTAGTGAGAGTCATCACTGAAGTTTGTGTATTACCGTTAAGTGATGACTAGCTTAAATTTAATGTGCTTAAAAACACACACACAGTTTTTACTGATGAAATTTCAATTTCAAAATTTTCAAATTTTTAATGATATTCAATCTGTATACATTTTTTAAGGGGGGAGAATGTAAAAACTTTACAACACTGTATAGTTTTTAGTTGCTAAGTGATTCTCCCTGCTGTTCTTTATATGCTGTTAATATATAAAAAGTTACTGCGATCCAGTTTGTTTTCCTCTGGTATTTGAGATTATTTATTTACTGATTAGTTTAGCTATTGAATCGGCACCAATACCCCTGTTTCGGCTTGTTTCGGCAGTTGTTTCCATAGAGTTCACAAATCTGGACAGTTGATATTCCATGTTTTCCATTCGAATTTTCAACTCCTCTGTAGCTTCTTTTTTTTTTTTTTTTAAAATTTCTGCTTCATTCACGCTGGGTTTTGCTTGACTAGTAAATCCTCCTTCCTTCATATTTACTGTAGTATTATGTATTTTATTCCATTGTTATATCTCTGCTCACTTTTCTTTATTCTCGATCTTATAACTCATATCAGTCTTGGATCATAACCTTATTTTCTGCTCACTTAGGTTATACTTTTTCTTCTCTCTCAGATGTATACTTTTTTTTTTTTCACTCAAATTTATACTTTTTCTTCTCTTAACTCCGACTAGACAGGGCTTTAGCCTAAATGTACTGAGACTTAGATAGGTCTTTTATGCCTAAATGCACTTTTGCGCTTAGATAGGTCTTTTTTGATTATTATCGGCTGAAAGCCGTCATTTTTGCCTAAATGCACTTTCGCTTAGATAGGTCTTTTTGCCTAAATGCACTTTCGCGCTTAGATAGGTCTTTTTATTTATTTTCGTTCGTGTCGAGACACCGCCTCTGTCCGATCGAATTAGAAGCCTAGGCCCAGGTCTTACACAAGTATTGCAAGGATAAGAATGGAGGCGAAAATATCGCTCACTGCAATCTTATTTCTATCCAAGCTTAATTCATGAGTTCACATCGGGAATGGAGGCGAAAAATATCGCTCACTACATTCTCTATGATGTAGCTTTTAAGCTCTCAGTTTGTATGCGACAATATCGCTTACTGCATTTATATTATTATCGAATGGAGGCGAAAACCGCTCACTGCATTCATATTATTATCGAATGGAGGCGAAAACCGCTCACTGCATTCATATTATTATCGGATGGAGGCGAAAACCGCTCACTGCATCCTCAATTAGTAAGAAATGCTCTTGTCAAAGTGTTAAACGCAACGTCCACTTATACTCTCTTATTTTTTTTTTAGGTTATCTCAATTACAAACATTTCATCTTCACTCTAATTCCTTATTATTTTTCACTTTGACTAGAGATTTCGAGTATATAATCACGTCGAGGTCACCAAATGGAGCTATTTTCAATAGCTAAACTAATCAGTAAATAAATAATCTCAAATACCAGAGGAAAACAAACTGGATCGCAGTAACTTTTTATATATTAACAGCATATAAAGAACAGCAGGGAGAATCACTTAGCAACTAAAAACTATACAGTGTTGTAAAGTTTTTACAGAATGTATTAAAACTTTTACTTTCTGAAATTTTAAGGTAAATGCGCCATCACATGTAAATTATCTTAAAATTTTAAAAGAAAATATCCGTACCTCTCCTCAGAAATATGCATTCTATCGGAGGTTTGGCAACTCCTGAATGTTCATACAACGTTCTTTCTTAACACCGCAGCATGCACCTTCAGTGCACGGAGTCTTTTGACTCATTTAGAAATCTGAAGAAGGATCTGTTAGGCACTTGGTTCATTTCTGTGGTTTTATTTGGCGATCTAAATCAGCTGGAAGGAATCATCCTACTTTAATAATTAAACAAATTGTAATTTTTCTTTACCTGATTTAATTATTTTTATCAAGAATGTACAAATTAAAACCCTGTAATTTGTCAAAATTAGAATGTTGGCAAAGAAAGTGCGTTATTAAAACTCTAAGTGCAATTCTTCCAATCCTCTTTACAAGCAGACTCCTTCTCTGTCATATTAGTTTTAGTTTTACTCTTCTTAGATATTATAGTGTTTTGACAGATTGAGTTAAAATTTGAACTATGGGATGTAGAAAATTTTTAAAAAGTGTTTTTCCTTTCATTATGATTCTCAAAAACAATGTTGGCAGACTTGCACAGCAAGATGAACCATCATTTTGATTCTTGCCGTTTCTCTTTAGGGGCCATTCTGATATTACGTCAGGCATCTTGGCCGTTTTTATTAACCCTTCTTCCCCTCTTGTGGGGCACTTTTTCAACAATCTCTCACCCCTCCTTATGAATCACTTAAAATTGGCCTGACCGCTCTACTCCCTCAATTTCTTCGAAAATAACAGAGAAAGCCTGAAAAAAGCTAAACAAATTATTTTTCTTGGAAAATTTAATTTTTTGTCGCAAATGCGAGGCTTAAGTAAGACAGAGCTGACCTCTTCCCTCTTAAAATTGCCGCAGTAATACTTGAATAGTATAATTAAAAAAATTCTATAAATGTAAATGGTAGATCTTCAGTCCCCTAATCACTTTTCCGATTGATGGCCAATCTGTAAAATTACGTATCTCCGTTTGCGACAATGCAGACATCATGGGTTCCTTGGAAAACCGGTCAAACTAATTCATCGAAAACTTCCTTGATTCGTCTGCTCCATTAGCAGAATATTCTGTAAAAATTTCAAGCTATAAGGTTAGCTTGTTTCTCCTCGAAAAAATAAAAGAACCTAGAAGCACACATTTTGAAACACGACCTTAATGGAGGTACGTGGTTTCGCACTCTGGCCATCATCATACTTTAAATTGCTATGAGATTTCTATCTTTCTCTTGGACTGCTGAACTCGTGATTTAGTATGTAAATCGAAGTTTCTGTCATGAATGTGATTTTAAATACATTTTTACATTTTATGAAATAAATTTTGAGTTCTTTACTGATATTTCTTGTATTAGAAGTAGCTTTAAAACTACAGATATTTGTACCATCAGGAGATATTACAAATGTTGGCTCAAGGCATTTTTCAACAGGTAGGATCGCATTATTGATGGCCAAAGTGCGGAACCATGTATCTTCACTCGCGATGTTGCAGACTTCCTTTTATACTTTATTTTTTCATTTGAAATCTAGTCAACTTAATTTCTTAATAACCTCATCAATTTTATTTCTCTATCTGCAGGATACTCCGCAGAAATGAACTACTTATATAGTTGACTAGTTCCTCTCCAAAAAAATAAAATAGGAGTGGAAATTTTTAACCCCATGATGGAGATATGGGATTTTGTACTTTAGGCATTGATTTGATTTATGTATTTACATTTTTATTTTTTATATATTAAGATGTTCGGACACACAGTAGTATGTTGTGACAAGAGTGAGGTCATGGAGGGTCCCACCTAGATTTTGAGCTGAGTTATGAGAATGACCAAATGATTCTTGATAAAAAACCATTAAAAAACCACCCAGGCACCGGATCCCTATTTCTACTTCACAGAGAATGGCCCTTGAGAACTCAAAAAATTTAAAGGGCAAAAAGGTTTGCTTGCTGAAGTAGCTCAATATTGCATCAGTGTTGCAATAATGTGTTGCCTCTGATGGTTGAGAGGTCCAATATTTGATTCCCAGTTTTTTTGCATTAATATCCACTCCCATATTAAGTATTACTAGCCGCTCTGGACGCGCTTTGCGCGTCCGTCACGACAAGCCAAGGGGCTGCGCCCCCTGGACCCCCGATCACTCGCTACGCGAGTGACATTCTGCTCGCTCCGCGAGCCATTTTTCTGAGTGATTGGACATTTGATCACTATAGGATGTATACATTTTGGAGACTCTGGAGGCAAACATGATTTCGTTACAGAACCTTGTCGCCGGAGCGTGCCATCATTTGCACATGAATATAGATATGTGGAGATGAAGTGATGATGGGGATCAACCAATTCTTCAAAAACGCATTTCACTGGGACGCCATCCCATCAGGCGGCGGAAAAAGACAATCCATGGATCTCTTCCCGCGATTTGACTTGCTGAAGTAGCAAAAGTTTATCTTTACCTCTTAAAAAGATTATTGGTGGCGTAGGGGTCTAAAACCTGCTCAACGATAGCATAGTTCGAGTTCCGAATCGCAATAAATGAGTCCACTCGTGTTTTTTTCTTATACTTTCATCGCATATAAATTTATCTGATGTTTTTGTTTTATTCTCTCTGATCGCATATTATCCTCATTTCATTTCCTTTCCCTTTCCTTTCTCCCTTTCTGTAGCATCTGTGTCCATTTAAAATTATTATTTTTAAATAGCTTTCTCCTAGTATACAATTGATGCTTCTAACGGAATCAATTGTTTTAATGACATTTCCAGCTAAATCAAGGGTTTTCTCAGGAAGGCAGCCTCTCATCCCTCCCGGACTCTATTGTTGCCAGATAAGTTGCCTTTTTAGCATTTTTCCCAATTCAAATCCATGTAAAATATTCACATTTATCGCACAATCTGGCAACCTCTCGAGTGAAATAGAAAAAGGTGGAATCGCTGAAAGTCTGAATCCTTCGAAGTTTATATTAATGATGCTTGATTCCTTCATAGGTACGTTTTCTTCCATCTCTGTGCACATCTTATACTACTATAAATGATTATCAATTACAGTGATAATAATTATTGATCTAATAATGCTGTTTTCTTTCACATAGAAAGAAGAATATGAAGAATTCTATTGATGGAATTCCTTTTATTTGAGGCGATCAACAAGAGAGATTAGATAAACGGCGGAGGAATAGGAAGAGGGTTGTTCTTAATACTTGGGCAGCTAAAATGAGCTTATTTAATCAATAAGAGTCTGGATAGTAGATTACTGTTCTTTATTGTTTACATATTAAACATAGTTACATTCGTGGCTGGAAAAAAGAGAGGAAAAATCTAAACAGAACAATCACGAGAAAAAATGAAATCAACATTCAAACGATGAGGATCAAACTGAAGACCACCTGACCCCAGGTAACAGCGCTATGTAGTGGCTAAGATGGTGGCTAAGAGCATTGCACTCCAGCGAGGTGATCCCTGGTTTGATTCTCATAGTTCTGCTGTTAGATTTATTGTTTCCTATGATTGTTTCGTTTTCCCTTTTTCTCTTCCAGCCTCGAATGTAATTATCTCGTAAACAGACATGTTAATAATGAAAAAAGGTAATCTATTGCATATATAATAATAACTTGAGTTGCTTACTCAAGGAGAACTAAGATTGGGCCTTTTGCTAGCCAAGTTTTTGAGATTAGATAGTGAATCCCATAAATAATGGACAGCCTTTTTCGTTATGAAAATCGTCTCCCGGTTAATTTCAATCTCCTCAACATTCGTGCTTGGAAGAGTTCTAAAATGTTCACATGTCAAGACAAAACGCTTGAAGAGAGCAACGCTGATTTTTGGTTCAAATAATATCCATCAGCCATTTCCATCAAAATTTTTGCTGACCCATGATCAATGGGCCTGTTGCAAACTTTTGCTAGAGCAAAAATAAGAGTTGTTTCTTATAGATAATGCCTAAAAAATCACGATGAGCGCATCGACAAAGTCTGAAATGCACTCATAACTTCACAATCTGCGTAAGAAATTTGCGTTTTTTTAAGCTTCCCGCTTCAAAAACGATACTACGGCACAGGTGAACATTTTGTTAGAGGAGTCGCTCCATCGTCGGCGATATTCATCATGGCCGACACTAGAGTCCCTTTATACTGAGAGTCAAGACAATTCGGCTCATGGATGTCACAAACGGGAATAAAGATTACAGAAATTGAACGTTTTTCGTAATCTTTGATCGGCCCATTCTCAAATGCCTTTCTCCGTTTCTCCTCTCATTCCGTTTGTTCCTTGCCGAACCCGTAATTCCCTGGTCCATTCCAGATTATAATCTTTGCAATTGGTGAAAATGTAATCTTTATTCCCGTTTGTGACACTGTGGAGGCCTAAAATACGGGAACCAATCAGAAATGGATTCAAATTGTCTTGACTCTCAGTATAAAGGGACTCTAGCCGACACTTGCGCGCAGTTTTGCGCGTAATTCGAGGAGAGTTCAAGGTCAATCAATGCGGGCGTGGAAAACATGAACGTTAAAACACGCCGATTGTTATCTGGTCTAATCCAGTTCAGGTGTTATCTCGTCCCATCACACGTGTTTTGGCGGATTGGCGTCGGCCATGATGAGTATTGCCGACGATGGAACGACTCCTCTTACAAAATGTTCACCTGTGCCGTAGTATCGCTTTTGAAGCGGGAAGCTCAAAAAACCGCAAATTTCTTACGCAGACTGTGAAGTTATGAGTGCATTTCAGACTTTGCCGATGCGCTCATCGTGATTTTTGAGGCATTATCTATAAGAAACAACTCTTATTTTTGCTCTAGCAAAAGTTTGCAACAGGCCCATTGAGGACTTCTTTGGTAGAGGGGCGTAGGAGACTTCTAATGGTGCTAAGATTGTGCAATGCAAAACTTGGCTCTTTAATTACAAGTAATCCATTCGAAAGCTCTGCCATGAATTTTGCCCTGAATCTGCTCCAAATTTCTCCTCACCATTGTGTGGAAATGAGTCTACTGCGAATGAGATTAATTTACTGGAGCTGCTATGAAAAATTGCACTACCTTGGCAGCATTGCAGACCTCAAGGGTATGCTCTATTATCGAAAGTCCTCAATTTTGCAGATGCTTAGGGTGACTTCTTGGCCTGATGAAAACATGCACAAAGGTATATTGGCACAAAAAGAGTAGATGTGCTCTAGATTCGTTAAGAAGCACAAAAAACTAAAAGAACAATCGTATAAATTTTTTTTCAGTTTTTTTATTTTTATTTTTTTTTAAAACAGATGTTACAGTATAAAAACTTGATGGGGTGCAGTCACATATTAAACGTAATGTTCGTGGAACTCGAAGACAACGTCTCGTCCTGTGAGCTGTTTGTACACAGACTGGAAAGTGTCAATCTGAAAAAAGGACAAAAAGGTTAATTATTACTACAAATAATCAGGTTTGGCTTATTTTGACTTGGTGCACACTGCAGTGAGCTATTCTTAAAGTGCATTGTTTGTCATACGACTGCGCAGATTCTATAATGAATAGGTAGTAATGCTGCCAAACACTGGTTGCAGAAATGGGATGTTCTTTACCAGCTCATAAAATACAAGTTGCTTACAGTAAGGGCAGACACTTCACTCATTTATTCTGCTTCAAAGTAAAAAAAAAAAAAAAAAAAAAAAAAAAAAACAAAAAAAAAAAACCTTCATGACAAACACAATCATTGCATTACTGATTGTTCATGATTTCATACACCCTCACTACATTATCTGGGAATTGCTCTAAACCTAAGTGTTCCGAAGAGAGGTGAACCCAAAAAAAGAAAGGCCCCTTGGGTGTTCGAAAGAATGAGTAAGCACTATTTCTACATGTGAACTAATTTCCAACAGATTATAACTCACTCCTTGACAGAAAGTTCCACAGGTACACAAAAATTTTAAGAAATAAGAAAAGCAACTGTTTTTGCAGGTCATATCTTCTGGAGCTGGACCGTCAAATTACAAAATAAAACACTCCAATTTTTCAAGACGATTTCTCCACGAGTCCACGCACGCTCGCAAATCATGAATGGTTCTATGGTTTTGACTAAATATTACATCAGCAGCATTTTAATAATGTATACATTTTTCAATTCCTTGACTTTTTTGCTTTTCCCTGGATCAAAAATTTCCAAATTCCCTGTCTTTCCTTGATCATTGATGAAAAACCGTCCAATCAGATCATTGCCTTTCCATTGTGCTGACTTTTGGATAGTTGGAGATGAAATCTCCTAATTTCTGGATTTAAATTAAGTGATAGGCACTGAGAAATTGATGTGACTCTCTGAAATGACACCAGCTGAGGTTGCTAGGCTGAAACATTACTCGTGAACCTGCCTTAACCAGGTAGCCTTAAATTCCCCGACTTACTAGGTTTCCCTGACCGCCGTTGAAATTTCACCACGGATTTCTCTACTAACCAAAGAGATAAATGAATCAGTGAGAACGAAAACACACTAACTCGAAAAAATGAAAATAATCATGACACACACACAGTAAGTGAAGGAGTAAACTAGTCAAAGGCAAAGATTTTTGGTGCCGAAAGACAAGTACTTAAGGACACTTCAAAGGTCCAACTTGGAACAGATGCGCTAACATCAATGACCTTCATGAAAACTGACTGTCTTCAATGAAACTTAAGCATTTTCGAGATACCGAGTTAGTGTGTTTGCATTCTCACCGATTCAAATTAGCTGGGTATGTCAGAACCAAAACTGTATTGATCGAACAAGCAATGAATACTCAAGTTTTTGAATTCTTATTACTATGGCACTAAAGAGGCCATTTTGAGCCAACTGGAATAAACTGCAAAATGAATTTGAATAGTGCGTTTTAACAGAAGGATTTAAATTATATATTACATTAGAAATTGAAATTTAATAGATGAGTGAAACTAAAAGCTAAAGAAAGCTAATCAGGGAAAAAATCAAGAATGGCGGTAGCCACCCCCGGTCGAGGAAAATGACGTCCTACTTAAGTCCCGATAACAAACGGGTGGCCGACACTCTTAGTCACAGGCAACTCCCTTAATCTGAAAATTGATTCGGTTGGAACTCGACTGCAGCCCAAACGACGGCTCGGATTCCTACGATCTTGGTGTCTACGGACGCATCTCAATTAGGACTACAAAGTGGAAGAGTTTCATTAAGATCCATTGAGTTTTCAAAAAGTTATAAGCACTTAATGACCCAAAACAAGGAAAATTTTACTTTTTACTTTGCCCGGAAATTTGAATTTCAAGAATCCAGGGTCCTGTGAAAGTCACTCAAACTCCGCGATAACGGTAAACCTTAGACCCATAAATGTGGGTACCTAAAAAATCGCCATGTTACCGTTTGTGCCGCTTCTGACTTTATTTTAACATTCCAAATGTTTTAGAAGAGAAATTACGTAAAAACGACTAAACTGACTGTCGACCTCCTTGTCAAGACCACCTTTCACAGCAGATTTCTCGCTTACACGGCCGCAGATCGTAATGGAGCCTATATAAAGGGCACTTCTTGAAGATATAAGGATTTCATTTCGCCACATAAAAGAGGGCTTCATCGCACGGATAATCCAGCATCTTCAAAAATTTTAGCTATAATATTTGAATTTAGAAAAAAAACCAGTAGTGGTTCAATAGGTTCAATGCCATTGGTTCATTCTGTTCAGGTCCGTCCGAGTTTCCGGAACGAAATTCTCGTCGTCGATTATACCAACCTCCAGCTCCTGTATTTATTAGTGAATAATGTACAGATTTAAATTAAAAGTTCGATTCATTTTAGATAGACCCTAACTAATATTACACACTTATATTATTACGTCCACTTTTATCCCGATACATTACTTCATTAAGTAGTTTCTTAAAAATTTTCAAGTGATTTACTGATGAATGCAACTGTAAGTTTAAGTGAGGTTATGTCGTCATGTTTATGTCAGTACCTGACCTAAGCGATAGATGTAATTCAGGTAAATTACGTTAACAAAATTACACCGAAATTGTGCCAAACTCTCCAAAGGAAGCAGCATTTACATCACAGAATGTATTCTCACTACTAAAGTCTAAAAATTACTGGAATATGAGCCTTGGCCTTCACATGCGACTGTCACTGAACTTCGACCAAAATTTATTCGCTCGACCTCTGTCCATGGACGGAAGGAGAGGAGAGAAAAAGAGATGAATTCGTGCGGCTCGTCTATGAAAAGGTACAAGCGAGTCACGCTTGTTGCGGAGCTCATAATTAAAGGGGGAAAAATTTCAGTTGACATCCTCGACCGATTTTGTGATTTCAAGTGCATTCGAGGGATTTATCTCAAAATCGGTTTATTATTTATTTTTGGCAAGGGATTTATTTTTTTTTGGAACTTTTTGATGATTATTAGTCTTAGTGGACCTTGGGAATTCATCAAAGGTTTTTGCCTATCTTATACTTGATTAAAAGGAAGTGACACGTCAATTTCCTCGACCCGATTTTTTGCCCGAAAAATGTTTTTGAGGGTTTTTGTAGTTTTATAGGAATGTCAGAACTAAAACTGTATTGATCAAAGAAGCGATAAATACTCAGGTTTTGAGTCCTTGGTACTATGGCACTAATGAAGCCATTTTGCACCATTTGGAATAAACTGCAAAATGAATTTGAATAGTGCGTTCTAACAGAGAGATTTAAGCTCTTTACATTACATTAGAAATTCAAATTTAATAGAGCTTCACTAGTTAATATGGGAACAAATGAAAGAATGTTCAGAACTTAAACTGATT